TGGTTAACTTGTATGTACACATTTGGATATGTTGTGCAGCTATGGATGTATTAATAGTACAGTATTGTGGTCTTGCAACACTTCTGGTGTTCTGGCCAATTTTTATTATCTTTTTGTATTGCATGGGATGTAGTGTATCAAATTCAAACAAATTCTACATTCTAAAAATAAGAAACTGTATTAAGAATCTAGCCTAGGATGGTGCTTATAAGTGGGATACTTAACTGGGAAATTTTAGCCTAACAGGTTCTTAAAATTGAAAGTTCTTATACACAGGTTTTTAATGTATGTAGTTCTTATGATGTTACTTTGTAAAATTTGGTATTGGATCAACCAAATAATCCCCTAACTGATGTTTTTCTTCATTCCCATTAACTGTTTGCCTGATACTGTACATGCATTGATATTGTAATTAACAATTACTCACTGAAGGTGAGGTGAATATTGTTGCAAAATCCTCAAGATAAAGACAAGTGGACTATTCAACAATTTTCACTGAACCAGAAGCGAAGAATTGTTTTAGTATAATTGCTCAGGTGCTTTCAAATTCTGTTGTAAATTCTTTTTTTATTTGTTGATAACAATCTGTTACAGTTGTTTTGATTACTTGTATCAAGATAAGCAACCAGTTTCCACTAGAATTTAGCAGGTTTATTTAATTCAATCAGCAAAAAATGTCATTTTTTCCTTTTGAAAAGTGTGACACCAAGCTTACTAGCATCTTTAGTGTTCATTGGATTGTATTTTGTTCTATCACAGTTATCACTACCTAGTGACCAAAATTTAAAATACTATAATCATCTTGCACAAGATGATTATAACAAGATATTACACAATCCTTGACCAATCAGAGAGCATGCATCTCTAAAATCACTGTAGCAATAATACTAGGGAGAAATTATTGATCACTAAAAGAAGTTTAAGAGTTGAGTGACCTTAGTAAAATGGAACTGTAATTTGTATGGTTTCATCACCAAACATTCAGTTAACCATACCAGGATAAAATCATATCAAGAAATACATGCTAACCTGGTCAGTGACATGCTGATGGAAGAAGTGAATAAATCTTCGTATTTCCTCTGGTATATGAGAATAGGACTGAGGATCTATACCTGACTCATAAAAAATAGAAATATAGTAAAGATTTTTGATACAATTTTAGGTGTGGTTTTAGCTCTTATTTTTTTCTTGTTTCTAGTGAATACAAAATATGGTAATAAAAATAAAATTAAAGAAATCTGATTAAAGATGGAACAAAAATATTTATCGTCATTCAGATTGTGTTTATGGAACAATGGTTATTTTTAATAGTGTCTAAGGTATATCAGTGAGAGGCTGAGCAGTTTGGTGGCTAATCAGTCAACTTTTTCCTTTTCTGGGGGAAAAAATTCAAACTAATTAGCAAGCCATCAAGCACCCTTCACCAATACACCTTGAAAATTGGCCTTGTATTCTGAAACTAAGACAGGCTTTAACATGCTAGCTTCACCCAAATGAAACCATAGCTAAGCAAATTTTAACCATCATTGAGTACTAATAAGATTTCCGCACGGCCCCATCCTACATTACGCATTCAGTTCTTGGATAGAGAAAACAATGACAAAAAAATACATTGCCATTGGGAAAACAGATTTGTTTTACAATAGCATGGGGCTGTGTGGAAATCTAACCCTTTTCTCAAGCCAGTCAAAATATATTACAAAGTAAGATCGATGAAACAAATAATTTTCTGCTAAACAATTTTAAAAACACTTTTAAACACACGTGTGGCGTAAAAAAGTGTTCCAATTCTATGCTATACGCAATGCTATCTAGGTCTCTTACCTCCTTTATCATGTATGGGAGGCTCATACTCTCCTCCTCCATAAAATTCTCCATCTGGCGCGCCACCCTAGAATAAACAGATAAACAATAAATCGACTTTTGGGACAATCAATATCTGGTGATAAAGTGATCTGCCGTTTCTTGGTGCTATTTGTTAGAACTATAAAACAAAACGAATCCGAAGTTACATACCTGAATAACTTGTCATAAGAAACAAAAAATCCTTACCTCTCCCTCATATAATCCTTCAGATTCATACATCGTTGATTCAGCCGTTAAAATTTACCGAAAAGAGGAATTTCTCCTGAAAATTCTTACCTCGTGTTCTTTTTAACTGACTTAGCAGCCTGGCCAGAAAGATTATCTACGATTTGTGTAAGGAACACGAAGTGTAATATTATTTTCACCGACAAACTATAATATTGTCGAAGTATACCGGTATGCCAAACAGAATTAACAGAAAAAAAAATTGTTACTTGAAGTCTGAAAACGAAAGAGGTTTTCTACAAAATGATCTTTATATTAGCCATATTTCTATCACTCTCATAATGTGACCACTAGAAGGGCCGACCCTAGCGAGGGAAATTAGCGCTAAAGACCTTCGGTAAATCTCACCAAGACTTCAGCTTCAACCAGTTTCACTCCCAAGATCTCATTAGCATTTCTCCATACCTTCGCCAAACAGTTCTTACGACTTAAGTTCAGAGAACTTGGTATTGGATCAAATAAAAATCCCCTAGTTAAAATATATCTTTGCTCTCTTCTCTCGTCTGCCTGATTTTGTATTGATATTGTAAGGAGAAATTCTGTCTCGGTTACTCGTGAGGGTTTAAAATTTAATTCATCAGCTTGCATGAAGGCATGCATGCTGTACTTTTCAATTTCTACGGCTATTAATTACGAATCACTCACGAAACATTTCATGCATATTTACAAAGTTGAAGTGCTTTGATACGTGACCTTGTTCATGCTGTTGACAACCGGAAGTCTAATGGATTGCCATCAAAACTGCCTGTGAAATGTCAAATTTCTAATCTCGAATGCACACAATTACTTATGCAGAATTCAAGAATGTTGAAAAAAAATTCAGCAATGACAATTATCCTCAAAATTATAAGTTGGCGAAAATATCTTCCACGGAACCGGAAGCTGACATGTTCATCCAAAAATAGCGTGATAAGTGGCGTGATCGTGACCTGGACCAAACTACATCCGTTAAAGCAATCAAATGTGTGAAAAAAAAACTCGAATATTTAGATCAGTGTCAGACAACTCCCTTTCCTTTGATTGTAAAATTAGCGAAAAGCGATGATCCTTTATTAAATCAATTATGCTCGGTTCTTGAACTGTATGTTGTGACGTCACAGGCGGCACTAAGGCAGTTCTGCACAGTGAGCCAGCGAGGTGTCAACGCACCACTGTCCGACAAAAAAAATAGTGGAACACCGGCAGAATTTCACTTTCTGGTCGAACCAAACCGTTTTTAGATACTTGAATCAAGTGACACAGTAATACCGATCTCACCGTTATTTCCTCTACCTCAGAGTAATTGCTTACAGGGCTCAAAGTATGAAATTTACGCTGCTCCTTTTTTGCATATTTGCCTATCTGCTATTGTTCTTCGTCGCTGGATCAAGCAGTGGAGTTGCAAACCTTTGCGAGGAAGGAAAATTTTTTGATTCATCGAAGCAAAAGTACAAGTCATGCCTCGAGTGCAAATCCGACATGCAGGAGTGCTATTCGTGTTGTCAAACCGAGGTCCATGGTAAGAATATGAAAATCAGTTCAATGTTTGTTATGTCAAGCTAGAATTTAAATTTAAACGTCTTGAATCTGCCGGCATCAGCAACGTCTAAAAAAGACGTGATAGCTATTCTCGCAATGACCCAACCAATATTCATTAGGAAAAAATGGTTCGAGATTGGAAAGTAGAAAGTCGCTTATGAATGCTCGTTTTAGAAAATTAATAACTGTCATTAGCTAAACCGAAGCAAATGGATTATGGTTCTTCCTTCCTAAACAAGGGAGAATTTAGTGTACACGAAATAAGTTTCATATCAATTCCTCGCCAGAAAATCTTCGTATTCTTGTGGCTTTTAATTTATCTCCCTATTAAAGGTAGTGCACATCGCTTTTCCAAATTAAGCGGTTTCTAGCAGATTTCATGATTTTATGCATAATTAAACTGACAAAATCAAACTCATTTACATACCCCTGTATTATCCAACGGTTTTGTCTCTCTCCCCCGGTTGGTTTTTCAGATTGATCCCGAACACAATCAGCTTTTCAATTCAGATATGAAAGAACATAATCTTTTCCCATGGATTGAAAAAAAGAGAATAATGCAGATGTACAGATTAGAAATGTGAAGAAAACTTTTAAACCCGATTTGATGTAATGAAAACATCAGCAGGTACTGTAAACATGCAAACAGAAACAACGCTTTGCGCGCCTCTTGGAAAATCTGGATGCCCTTAAAATGCTTCCTCTTCTTTTCCAAATATGCAAAGAAATATATCCTTAATTTAAAAAGAAAAACTGACAATTTGCGAGGAAACGACCTCGTCGGAGTCCTTCACGAGAGATTTTTTCGCGTCATGATAATTATTTCCTCACTGTTAACAACTATTGCCGGATTACCGACATTACTGACGCGGTACTTGGTCGATCGATATAGCTGAGCACGCACTGAGTTTAAACGTTAATTAAGGGAAACCGATAATTTGCTGGAGAAGTAATTTTTCTTGATTTGGTCAAATATCGAGCGCCTCGTGCAGGTTGGACTGCAGGAATGGACAACTGACAAAAACAGAAAAAGGATATACCCCTTCCTCTCTCTAGGTTTTTTTCTTTTTTTAAGGTGACTAAGTCTTTTAGATTCATTTGAATTGAACAGTATATCGAAGCTTCCATTATCAGACGATCTCAACACTTTTTGCCGTAGTTTCGGATTTCTGCACGCTAAGTAAACATGATAATGTAACGTTGATACAGTCGCCAAAATAGCCGTTTGTACGGTGAACATTGTCCCTTAGACCCTGATCACGCATTTCTCCCAGGGTTTTTTATTCTCAAAATCTTACTGAGGCTTCAAGGTCTCTTGATCTATGGTCTGAGAAGCATGCCACTGTCCCGTGATGATTTTATCATATCCAGTCTAATTTTAGTATCCCTAAATGGCGATTTATGAATTGAAAAAAAGTACCCCTTCCGCCCGCCCCCCCACCTCCCTCCGAAGTCTAAATAATGTATAGTGTTTGTTGAAACGCGCGCGCGAAAGAAAGGACGCAATTACCCCTAGAATATTCACTCTTTGGCGCAGGCCTGATATAGTTTCTGCGTTATAGAAATCAAGCATCGCAAACACCTCCTACGCTATCTTTTCCAGACAGACTCTCTTACTTGAAAATACAGTCTGAGCCAAGAGGCCATCAACTCGGAGTTTTCTCTTAGGAAATATCCAAGGAAAGAAAGCCACGGGTGAAACGCGATCGAGATGAAATGCGATAGCGGGGAACATCGATCAATCTAACATCAAAATTCAAAAATTATTCCTTTCCTATAGTTTACGGACCATTCATTATTTATCACCGGTGAGGTGTGGGTGGCGTATTTACGGACGATCAAATGGTTTTCAGGGGGAACGATGGGGGGGAGGGGGTCAGTCGTCATCAACAGAATATGTAGGGGAGGACTAAAGAAAACCGATTGTCAATTTACTGCTAATGAGGAGTGATCATAAAAATATTGCAGAGCCTAAGGTGGGATCAGGTAAATTCTATAAAAACAGTACCAAAATCCTCAACCCCTTGGCGAAAAATGAAGACCGGTCCTTTATATGAAATAAGTCACACTCAGCCATTAATAAATGCTGCTCTGTTACTTGAGGTGGAAATGGTAGAATGGTAAGGTGGGTCTGTTTCCTTTTTTTGTTTTGTTTTTTTCAACGCCGGGGGTAAGGAAAAACAGCTTTTTTTAATCCTCATTCCCTAATACTTTCATTATTTCCTTTACAAATAAAGGAGGTGAAAAAAATAACTCGAGCACTCCAATCCTACGTCATCAAGTGACAGATAAACCCGGTTTGCATGATGGGAAACCTCGAGCCGCTGAAGGAGACAAGTCTCTTCCGAACATCTTCGTGGTATCCACAATTAGTGTGTTCCTTATCAGCTCCTTGTTGGTTCTCGTGCTTGTCGTTATCCGATCCTCTCTTGAACGCCGTGTTGAAGCAAGAGAAAGTACGAGCATGAGTAGACAGTCCCAGCAGTCTAGTCCAGTTATAGAGATCATGACGACGCATGCGCAACTGCTGGTACAAAGGGATGACGCGAGTGAAGGAGACGCCGCTAATGAAGGAGACGTAGCCAGTGAAGGAAATGTTCGACTGGATAATACATACTACGTGGATGCAGTTATGTGTCGATAATTTTTAAATCAGAGCCGAAAGGATATGGAAAGTAACTGATTAGAAATTATATAAGATTTGTTTTTCTTCGCTTAGGTTTGTAAGAAAACTTGCGCCATACTTCCACCTAATTTATATCCAATGAAATATTTGAAAAAACCAGTCGCAACTTGCGCACTCGCATTTTCCCGTTTGGTGGGGATCACATGGTGTTCAGTGGGAACGAAAGGGGGAATCAGTCAAGTCATCACCTATCATAGAGTACAGGGGCGATAAACAAAGGCCTGTCCCTTGGCCTGTTCTTATTTATGGTAAGTTCGCTTAATTCACCTTCGTAACTACTGTGACGAAAGATTTGGCCTTTTGGTAGTTGTCATCGGTACACAAAGTAAATTTTGTGCAGCTTTGTGGGTCGGTGCAAAGACAGCTGAAAAGTTCCCCCACTGGGATGATAATTCTGCATTTGAGACACTAAAGCTCAGGTTTCCTAGTATTATGATTTATGTCTTTTTGAGTTTTAATACCGCAACTGCTTTTTAGCATGTCACGCAACGATATGACTCGTAGTCGTCGTTGCGTGACATTCTAGAGAGCAGATATTCGTTACTTTATTAGTAAACACAGTATTTATACAGTCACTTTGCAAGGAATACAAACAACCTTAAAAATTAAAAAAATATCTAACAGTTTTGTAACGTAGACGGACACACCGGATTGCCGGTGTTAAACATTTTGTGTGAAATTTAAAAGAAAAAAGTTTAAGTGAACCTGAAATGCGTTTCTTTGAGTATTTCACGATATCAATATAGAAAGTTTACGCACACCTTAATACCCAACCCCCTCCTCGTTATTACAGACCGAAAATAGTAACTATCAAACACTCATGGTAGGTTCTGCAGAAAGAAAATGTTATTACTGAGCACGACTAAAACCCTGCGAAACCTGGGCCCGGAGTCTTTTCTTAGAGAGAAGAAGAGAGGACCTGGAACCTGATTTGATCGCGCTCGTTGTTGAAAGGTAGCACTCGTTCATCGTTATGAAATAAACGGCTGAAATACTGCACCAGAAGGAAGGCACTAAAACTGACCAGATGTAGAAACACTTCGTTGAATTCTCCAATATCCATATATTGACCGGAGGTAAGCGGGCTATTAGAAATAATTTCTGGTTAATAGTATCTTGACAAATTACACACCTCGTTTCCAAGTCTTGCTTAGATTGGTCAACACTTCGATCTGGCTTGCTCGCAAAAATAGCAGGCCTAGGGGATTCCCCAACAGTACAACATCGTATAAACACCGGTGAAAACTGCTTTTCCCCAATTGCACTGAATTGTTCCCTGACAGCGCTGCTTGCACTTCTAATTGAAATATTGATATTGTGGCTAAATCATGATTTTGATCTTCGGAGCTGTTCTTCTCTTGTCATTAGTTGATCAAAGCAGTCAGCAGCCACTGCCATGCAAGGATGGGAAGTTCTATGAAAGCAGCGTGTTCGACTATTTCAACTGCAGCGTTTGTATTGAGCAACCTCACTACGAGAACTGTGATACCTGTTGTAAAAGTAAGTTTCATTTTGATTACCTGAAGGCTTTTCCGTTTTCGAGTCAGTTTCTGTCAATTTTTTTTTTGTTTAGACCTAAAATTTAACGTAAAATCTCCCTTCGATTCCTGCAAGTCAGCACATTTCAACGTATTATAAACTTGTCCCCTTTAACGAAAAAACCTTCAATGTCTATCCGAGAAAATTTGACGCGGTTCTATCAACGAAATTGCAAAATAAAAAATGAGAAAAACTCGGATTTTTCATTCGGCATTCGGCTTTCGGCGCAAAAATGTGTCGCTTTAGTAATGCGGTGGGGTCCCATTCTTTGTTAAGTCATTTTGTGATACTTTTTGGTGTTTGTTTTGTTACATGCTCCTTATTTCGGCAGAAGTAAGACATTCATCTTTTAAAGAAGCCTTTAAATTGAATCGCAATGAATTATTTTGAATTCCTTTCATAGGAGCAGGAGTAGGACTCTGATAGGATTATTGTGAACACTGAGGGGAAATTTACCGCAAGTTTTGCCTAGAGTGCACTTTCGAAACATCATAAGACTGCTGATACGGCAGTCCACCCGTTTTTTGACCTTTGAGTATTGTTTTACCAAGGGAGATTATCTCCATTTATAGCGCACGACAAATGGGTATCATATAACAATTGCGTCAGCTCATTCGCGTCGTTCCAATGCTTAGAATTACTCAGCCAAATAAAGGCGCCGTGTTAAAATTTTGGCGGCGATCTTGACCTTCATTTCGGGAATTTTCCATACTGTCACGTACAGAATATCACAACATAGACGCCGGTGTATCTTTTTGCCTACTGTATTTGGTTTTCGGGATACTCTCAAGTCTTGGGATCTCACTTACTTGGCGTTGAATCTCGTGTGCACTGAACAAGTTTGTGCTTTAAAGGTAACATTTCTGGGGGGCTTTTTTGTTTTTGTCTATTCGCCGGGCTAATGATTATCTCCAATACTAATGACAGAGCGAAGATTTTTGTCATTTGCGCGCAACGCGCTCGATACACGATCAAAAGTCATTTTCCGTTTTTTCGCCAAAACCTGATTAGTGTTGGGAAAACGGCAATTTCTGTGCTACGTTCATCCCGTACAATCTTGGGAGAAATAGAAAAGAGCGAATTCCCTCTGTTACGAATTTTCCAGATAATGTGGTTCGGCTACTTATTTTTCTAACAGAAATCACGACCACTTCAACATCAACTGTTACAGCAACGACCGAGAAAACTAAACTGCATACGAGTCCCTCAGCATCTCAATTCGTCAAGACAGAAAAAATGCGTTTCTCTCCGATGGAAATGGTTATCATAGGATTCTCTTTCGGATTCGTGGCCGGTGCTGTAATAGCTTGGCTGGTTGTGATTACAGCTAGAGTCTGCTGCAAAAGGAGGAAGAAACTGGAAAAACTGATGACTTCAAGTGAGTACAATGGTTACATACAGTCTGGAGTATGACCTCCAGAATGATTTTATAAGCTATTTGTCTTGACTGTAGACTTCGACTGGTGGTCGGCATTAGTGCCACTTGCAATGGAAAGTTAATGACTCTTTTACCCGCCAAAAATTTATCTGCGCGTACTCCCCGCGCGTACTCTCCGCGCGTACTCCCCGTGAGAGCATACCGCCAAGCCAACCAAGCAAAGTAAATGCGCAGCAATTCGCGCGCGAGTTTTTCGCGATGTCCACGAATGAGGGAGCGAGTGGGTCGATTAAGGCTCGCATTCCCCGACAGAGAAACTAATGAAACAAAAGATTATTTTATTTTCTTTTCCGGAAGGAAGATTTTTTTTTTAATCATGTATTTGAATAGAGCCATGTTTTGATGGTTCGACTTTGTTTCGCGGAACTATAAAAAAAAAAAATGGAGAATTTAAATTTAGTCTAACCCAGTGTTCTCCTCAATCTCTTAGAATCAATAAAAGCAACACAGGAAACCCAGCGTAACACGTCATCACCCATGGTTTGGGGCCAAAATGTTGGTATACCTCCGGCAGCGGATCCGCATGACTGTTGAGCGGAAGATGTCCTCTCCGCGTGCGAAGACGAGGCGAATAAAAAATCAGGAGAAGAAACTAAATTATATTAAGCATAAGCGAGTATCTTTGTAAAATGCAATAACTTTGTTCAGTTTCTTGAATTTCCACTCCTGGATGATTGGTAGCTAAAGGAAGGCTAAGGGTACTGAAAATAAGTTATACTAAGCAAGTGAATCTACAAAACCAATAGTTCGGTTCAATTCTTCTTGACCTCACGCTGGCGTTTGTATCATAACTGCAAAAAGTTCATAAAAATCGTAGACATGGAAAATTGAAACTAATTCCATTTCTCTCTCATTGTGGTAACAACTACTTAAAACAGGCTTCCTTACGAACGGAACGTTTTGTTTTCTCCTGTCAAAAGTGTTTTTTGTTAATCACGTGACCTCTTTGTAACAGAACATTTAAAGGTATTCTGTAACCTAAAGTTAGCAGTTTAAGTAGCTAAAGGGAAGACGCTGAATTACTTCTATTAATATATTTTACAACTGAAAATATATTATTGATAATCTGAGCGGAAGTTGTACAGGCATTCTATTTTTGATATTAAAAGTTTCAAGATGATATCCATTTGTGCTCTGATGACGTTCGGGGGTGGGGGGTGACTCTGGGAGAATTTAGGCCGGGCATACCCTTTTTCGATACTTTTCTATGGTGTTGTGTATGTGGTTCCATTTGTACCAATTGCTATCAATCGCTAGAAATTGTAACGATATCAATCGCCAGTGTTACCAATCATTGTTTGTGATGAATACAAATCGCTACCGCAAAACATAAATCATTAGTGCTAGTATCGATTTGTTATCGATTCTACCTGGAACCAGTCTCCCCCTTGTTTAGCAAAGATAAACCAATCAAATCTTGCTTACTATCTTGCTATCTGATAAAGGACATTGAAATCCAAAAACATATTTTGGATTGTATTTTTGCAGGAGCACTTTACTCGATGGGCTCCTGATTTTTGTTGAAAGATGCTTATTTAAAAGTTATTGTAAATCTGAAAAAAAATTCCAAATTCTAATCAAATCACTCTCTCCACAAATAACTTATAAAAAACCCAAAAATAATTTGCGATCCAAGGTACTTTGTGATACTTTCGTCCATATGCCTTGAGATGGACAACGAAATGGCATCCTCTTTCGCAGGATTTCCCACTTGCTTTGCTCAGAATTCCGCACACGCTGGTTCAGTAATCTTGGATTGTATACTTTCTCTTGATTCAGGCTTTATTGACGACATTACACGTTCCGTTCTGCGATCTATCTACTCTATTACAATCTAATCCTAGGGTTACAAAAATGTTGCATTTATTAGCTGAGGAAATCCACACCTAGATACGTAATTCCGTGTAGGATTCAAGATTCACTCCGTTCTACAACGATTCGTGGGCACTAATTTCCTATTAAACATGGCTTTTCTTAACAATCATGCTGCTAAGTTCTACGCACTTAAACGCCCTGCAAATACCTATTTTCATACATCACTACTCGCAGAGCCAATTTGATTACCCTATGCCGCTCCTAATTACATGTTACCTCTAATTGTAAAGTTGACTCTATCCTTAACGGTAAAGAAATAACAACCCACTTAATACACAATTAAATTCATAATAAATCTAGGAAATCAATTTTTGCGTGGAAAAATTTCACAACATCCTCAAACAGATTCATTTATTAGCAGATTAAGGGAAGCAATCCTGCTCCAGCTGTGAGATGATCATCTTGCATTGCGTAATATGCGTCATGGCGAAAATATAAGAGTTTGCATAGGAATATTTACGACTGCTCTTGGAGGTAAACATACAATCAAATTCTCATTAAAAAATACCTCAACTTACTTCCAAGTGCATAGCTTGTTGTCTCAATGCTTACTTTGTTGACACGAGGCCATTTTAGCGAATTATCCATTTCTAGGTTTCCTACCCCTAAGAGAAGTTTGGGCTTGGGCCGCCGGTGGAATTTTTCGCCTCTCGGATCGGGCGTTCGGAAATGGAGTGTGCAGCCTTGTCCTTCTCTTAGGAGCCTGCTTGTTGCTTGTGTGACAACAGACAACGGCGTTTGCTGCAACAGCACAAGGGATTGAGGTTCAGCACTAACAATTTATTTTAGAACGGAAAGTAAATTGATTTACAATTACGACTTGTTGCTAGCTAACGATTGAGTTTTATCACTAGGGATTGATATTTTAGCACTAACGATTGAGTTTTATCACTAGCGATTGATAATTTTGGCACAAACGGTTCCCCATAGGTTTGCTTGTAAATTTGCTCGGAACTTACGGGGGCTGAGTCTCCCGTGATGGAAAGAGGATAGGTAGCTTATCAAATATTGGTACGTGTTGACAGATATGTAAATAACTTGCTGTTTATTTTCTTCACATCACGGCCTCTGCGCCAAATATTTTGTCTAGAAACGATACACAAAATCAGATTTAATGGAGAGTCGGAAAATAAAAAAAAAAGCTGTGACTGTGTCACCGCTTGATCAGCTTTGTCAAGCCGGCTGCGATGATAAGGGCCGAAATTCATAAGTAGTTTGACCCCTAGCATTAGGTTTCAAGAAAGTGTTGAAGTGAAAGATGCTTTGTTCTACGATAACAAGGCATATCTGCCCCGATTTTATTTTTAATACGAATGTTCTATAGCAGATTAGTGCTTCGGGCGCGCGAGCTGTTGTTAAAGCGATTCGTTTGAAAACCGGTCATCACACTTCAATACTAAACATGGTCGAGCCCGCTAAAGAGCGGTTTGGTGGAACAGCGCTGGCAACAGGCATCAGTATTATAGCCATCTTGATTTCTCTACTTTGCCTTGTCCATGTCTTCTTCCTCGCCTCGCATCAGCCACAGTGCAATTGTCCGCAAAATGGAGTGCTCGACAACTCAAGCGATAAAACAGCGCAAGAGGTAAAGAAGACATTCACTGCTAAAGAGAAAACCTCTACAAAAACACGATCAGATGCGGCTAAAACTTTTGAGCAAGTGACGGAGGGAAAAAAAGTGAGATTGCGTCGGCAGAATCAAAATAATGGACAGGTGAATGGCAACACGGCTTTTGGTGGTTACCTGCATAATGCTATTTTGCGATTGCAACAGCAAATGATTGCCGTGGAGGGAAGGTAAATTTTATGATTTGCGTTTTCTGTTTAATCATCCGTGGGATATCTTGTTACACAAGCATATAGGGACCGGTAATTATTTCTCGCTCGCGGGGGAGAGGAGGAGTCAAAGAATTTTGATTGTGACACGATAAACTGTACCTGATCTCCCCCCCATAGGACTTTCTTATATTCTTCCTTATAGTCCCCCTCATTGACATTGGAAGTCAGTTTTCTATAGCCCCCCTTAACACTCTATTGTTGACGTCTTATCCCCCCCCCCGTTCCCCCTGAAAACTATGTGAAAACCGTCCCCGGCGATAAATAGATAAATAGAGACTGGTTCCAAAATAGAAACTGGATAAATAAAGACAGGTACCTAAATAGAGACCGGATAAATAGAGACTGGTTCCTACGTGTTTTTTTTTTGAGTAGGTGCCTCTCGATGGGCTTGTTAATAAGAACTCCCCCATATGTGGATATCATAATGAAGCACATTTGAACAGCGCTGAGTGGAAATCAGTGATCTGGAACTACTTTGCAAATTCAGCTTGCATTCATTTATCATAAGTTAACTCGAACTCCTTTTATCACAAACTGAGCTTTGCTCTCCTTGACAGTTTGATTTGTCGGGCTTAAGTTTATAAGTTTATTGGATACAACATAATACCAATATGAACCTGATTGAAGAAAGGGGGTTACGTACTGTGGTGCTACGTCGGTCGGTGGGG